CACAACAGTTTATCAGCTATGCCATATAGAAGACTGTTACAATAATCCAATCTAGAGTTGACGAAAGCATGTACTAATATATGTATATGGTATGGTATGGAGAATTTATATAGCGCCCCTCTATGTAAAACTCAGAGGCGCTGTTCGAGAAGCTGTCGGTCAAAAAAGTGATGTTTAAGTCGTTTTCGGAACATGTCTCTTTCATCCATACTATCAACGACATCATCGGGCAATTTATTCCAAACCTCCGCTGCAGCCACGAAGAAACGACGCCGTCCATAATTTTCTGTCCTGAACCTAGGAACAACGAGTTTCTTTTTGGTAGAGGATCTGAGTTTTCGCCCCCCCGGCAGCCGTAGGGACAGGCACGATCAGCTGTTGAAGGTATCGAGGACCAAGCCCCATCAAACTGTCTCTTGTAAACATTGCTATTCTGAATTTGATTCTATAACAAACTGGCAACCAGTGAAGCTCATTTCGCATATATGATGAAACAGATTCATATTTTGTTACACCAGCAATTATTCTTGCTGCAGTGTTCAGAATAGACTGTATGCAGTTTTGAAGATACAAGCTTGTACCATAGAGGATTGAACTGCATTAACCTATTCTTCCACAAATGAAACTGTGCATCAATGAAATTAAACATTCATTTGTCAGGTACTTTTTTATACATCTGATTTGGCGCAATTGGTAAAAACATGATCGGCAGACATTTTTCACATGTTTATTCATCTTCAATTCAGGATCTATCCAAACACCAAGATTTTTGACTGGCTCTACATATTCCTGAATACCAGTTAATTTTTGACGAGTACCCAACCAGATGTATTGCGTCTTGTCAATATTCAGCTTCAATCCATTTGCCAGCATCCATTCTGAGACAGTTCTGACACCTGTTTGAGTTCTGTCCGTTAGTTCCTGTCTTTCTTTGATATTACAGTAACTATACAGCTGTATATCATCTACGTAAAGGTGACATTTCAAACCCGATGACTCAACAACTTCCACAATATCTGCCGTATAGAGAACATAGAGCAGGGGTCCCAGAATTGATCCCTGTGGAACTCCTTTCAACAGTGGGGAGGAAGCAGGATCAGAGCCATCAACACATACCGTTTGCGATCTGTCAGACAAACAGGATTCAAACCAGGCAAGGACTATTCCACCCAAGCCATATGACTTTGCAAGTCAATCAAGAAGGAGCTTGTGGTTGACCGTATCGAAAGCAGCTTCGACATCGAGCAGAGCCAAGAGAGAGATACTACCAGAATCAATAGCCTCATAAACATCATTGAAGACCTTTAGAATCGCTGTCTCAGTTGAGCGTCCAGAGCAAAAACCTGATTGAAGTTCAGGGAAAAGTCGGTTTAATTTCAGGTATGCGATCAATTGTTTGGCCACCAATTTTTCAATGAGCTTGGAAACAAACGTGAGGTTTGAAATTGGCCGATAGCTCCTAACATCACTCGCATCGGAACCAGCTATTTTTAGCTTAGGAAGTATGATAGCTCTTTTTTGACTCTCCGGCAGACATGACGATTGTAGTGATGCATTACATAATGCACATAGATATGGCATCAGAATACCAGAAACTTCTTTGATCAAGAAAGATGGTGCAGGGTCAGTACCACAACTTTGTGCTGGCATCAATGACATTATTTTTGCCACCTCATCTGGTGCGACAATCTCAAACTGGTCAAAATGACAGCTAACTTTTCTGATGACAGGAGATTGTGGTCTACAAAGATCATCGATATGTGCTGGCTCTGTCTTTTTAACAATATATTTTAAATACTCCTCTGCAGAAATCTTGCTAGGCTTGAAAGTTTCATTCCTCCCGAGCAATGCTGATATAACTTTCCACAGCCCCTTAGGGTTCATGACATTCGATGAAACAACTGACTGCCAATACATCCTTTTTTTTGCATGAACAGATCATGTTTTTGTTTCAGTACTGTCGTCCAAGCTCTACGAGTCTCATCATCTCGTTTTAATCTAAAGATGTTCTATAGTTTGCGAACCTCTCGTTTTTTGTTCAGGCATTCATTGTCAAACCAGAGAGGTTTTAGAGCACGTACTGTGATTTTCCTGACTGGGGCAAATCTATCAATCAATGAACGAAATGTTGCTTCATATGTCTGGAACAGCCTATGTATATGTATAACATATATATGTATGTATGTTAAAACCAAATCATTGACGAATGACACCAAAAGCCAAGCGTCTGACTAAATTTGATTTTATTTGCTATAACGTCACTCAACCCCGTCGGCATTCAACTCCACATTTTCCAACACACAGACGCGCAAAAACCGCTGCAGAATGCACGAGATATTATTCATAGCAAAAAAATATTCCCTACTATCGCCTGACCTAATACTGATATTTTTACAAATCCGATTGAAAAACCCGGAGGTGTTACGGTCCATGGGGCCGAGGACCTCGATACAAATCGGTAAAAACTCCATCGAGGGGAGAGCTCCGTCGTACTTTTTGATCTTCTCGTCAGATGCCCTGGTTGCAGCCAAACCGCTTTCTTTGCTAGTAAGCTGCACGTAGCGCTCAGCAAAGGTGCCCGAAACGGTAACGTCCCACGCCAAGCACCTGCCGGCTCTCCAAGGGATCAAGGTACACCCGTCAGGGCGCTTACCGTCGTGCGCCGCAATGCCCGACGGTTCCTTTAAAACCGGAATTGAGGCCTTGCAGAAAAGTCGGCACACAAAATCGTTTATGGCTGAATGTCGCTGCTGGCGACCTTCGCCCAAACGACAAACAAGACCATGATGGCCAAGTTCATCCGCCTCCGCGCCGCACCTGCATGTATATCGACTCTGAACGGCCAACCCCAGACGGAAGCCAATGGCTGTCCTGACCGTTTCGTCGTCCAATCTGGTACCCACCGACGTATTGGGCAAAGATCTCAGCCAGCCGCAACTCGCCTCGCTGGAAACTGCCAGCAAGCGAGCTGAGGTCGCCGAGTCTGGGCTTGAGGAAAGCAACTCTTTGAATGTGCGTTTATATGCTTCCTCCAAAATGTTGCCCTGGGAAAGGTCTGTTGGTTGGATTGGAGTCGGTGGAGTACAGTGCAGGCTACTAAATTGCCGAAGAAGGGCAGACTGTAGGTCAAGCGTGGCAGATTCGGAAGATTTATAAACAATTGGTGCAAGCTGAACCACGCTTAGTAACCCCAGTCCCCCAAATCGTACCGGCAGCTGAGCCTGAGACCAACCCTTGTCGGTAATATCGACGTTACATATTGCTGAGAGGGCCACCCGCAGAGCACCCTCAAATTCGCCCAAAATGGCCGCATTAACAAAGTTGGATGTGCGCAAAAAATACATCAATTTCGGCAAACTGAGAGCGCCGCGGATGATTGTCAGCGCGTCGTGGACCGGGAGAAGAGAGACACGTTCGAGGGCAAATCTTAGCTCAAAAAGTTTTTTATTAAAAAACCTGTCCTGATGATCGCCGGCCATCATTGGAGTGCCTAAAAAATTTAATGATGAATGAGGCACTGTGGGGACATTAGCCAGCACGTGTGGCATTTGAAACGTGTCATTTACAAGTAGTTCACACTTGTTTGTGTTTAATTCAAGACCAATGATGGAAGCGCCGACCCTCAGCGACAGGAAGTCGTCCGCTAAGATGTTGCCCTCTGCGGCCAAGCTGACATCGTCCAGGTAGCCACAAACAAACGCCGAGGATGACTTCGTCAACAGCGGGTGAAGGGTTAGAGCAAAAAGCATCGGTCCCAAAGGGTCGCCTTGCTGTACGCCCTCGCACGATTCAACCACCCAGGCGTCGTAACCGAGAGAAGAGACTCGGCCATAAGCGGAATGACAAAAATTATAAATTTGAGGACAGTGCTGCTTAACTGCCTCTAACATTGAGTCTCTTCTCAGGGTGTTGAAAGCGTTCTTGAAATCAATCTTCAAGAATCCCCACTGTTTTGGAAGTGCTGAAATCAGTTCACGTACGGCGTGGACAGCCGCCTCAGCACCACCTTTCACGCCGACGCCCAATTGGATAGGATAGAGTTTGGCTTTGACCTGTTCCAACACTAGCGCCAGAGCGCACTTACTGGCCAGCCTCCTCCAGAAATTTCCCACCGCGATGGGTCTGATCCCTCCATCTTTTTTGTTTAAAGCCACCAGACGGCCCCCAAAAAAGAAACGGCTAACCACGGGAGGGCAGACCCCAGATAACAACAAATTTACAAACCGGGTGAGGTTATTTAACAATTCATCGGTGGGCGTCGGACCGGAAAGTAAATCCTTTATGTGCTGAGGCCTCAAGCCATCAAGGCCTCCCGATGAACCATTATTAAACGACTTTAAAGCCGTCAACACCTGGGCTGGTGAAACGCGACCATTGGACGGCTCCTGCGCGGGGAAAGTTCGCCTGTTCAATGGAGCACTGGGATGAATAGCTTTGAGTTTAGCGAGTGTCTCAGGCGAGCTCTCCGCCAGGCCTGCGGGCGAACAAGCAAGTCTGACGGCCGCCGAGAGACTGCCCTGTTCAATCCGAGTGGTTACTGCACTAATCCAACTGTTTGGATTGTGCTTACGCGGTTTGGTGTTGTGGTCAGTGTTGAAGCTTGCCACAATAAACTCGACCTCGGTCGAACTGAATTCGGCCAACCGTTTAATAACGTAATTGGCTTGATTAGTCCTGCGACCGCCCCTGGTTGGCTTGAACAAAACAAATGCGAAAAAACATTGGAGCCTGCACCAATCGGCCGCGTCGCAGGGATCATCGCAAACGGCCGTCAATAAAGCCGACAATGCTTTAGATACCTTGTCTCTGCACGGTTTGGGAACGTGATCATACAGATGGGCAGTCCTCAAAACGACCGTCAGCCTGTCAAAAACATGAAAAAAATCCACTTGGGAGGGACTCTCCGAGACCGACGCCGAAGAACCGCGTGTAGCAACATGAGGGTTGATGACAGGTGCAGCGGTAAGCGGCGGTCGCGCGGAAGCCGATGAACCAGCCGGAGGCTGGTCGGCTGCCTTGAACGAACCAGGGCATTCCTGGCCCTTCACTTTGCCTCCATGTCGATATAGTTTACCGTCCGGTTTTATTTTATAATGATTTAAACAAACCGTGCATTGGTATAGGACCGGTGCCATTACGTCAACGAAATAAAATCAAAAGCGAGTAGATAAAACCGTGTGAACAGTGATAAAATAAAATAAATAAAATTGTGGTGAAAATAAAAAGGTTTAATTTTAAATTTAAATAAATTTAAAAATTAAAAGAAAAACTGGGAATGAAATAGAGAAAACACAAATAAATATTAATGAGCATTGTACGGTGCAGCTGTAAAAGCCCACAGCTGTTGTTAAAGTATGTTAAAGCTAAAATTAAAAATTTGAGACCACAAAAGTTAAAAAACCAACCGAACGGCGGGAACCTAATCCGAAAAAGGGCAAAAAAGCGACAACCAATAAAAACCACACCAAAAAAACCGAAATTATTGCAACAAAAACCTTAAAAACCAGAAATATTACTAAAAATTAGCGAAATACTAAAAATGTGAAAGCCGACACCAGCTGAGCGAACGTGTATGTATGTATGTATGTATGTATGTATGTATGTATGTATGTATGTATGTATATATGTATATATATATATATATATATATATATATATATATATAATTATATATACAGATTTGGTTTATATTTTTTTTAAACAAGGTTTTTTAGCAAAGTTTATTAGTTGGTGTGCATATATACACTGGCGGCGACTTGTACGGGCTTTAATTCTTCGAGCTCAAGCCTATCTTGAGCCCACTCAATATTTGAATTTAAATATTAAAATAAAGTTCTTTATCTGTTCAAAATATCGCTATGCGCTCTCATGACGATGATGATTCGAATTGTTTTTTTACATCTGCGTGCCGAAGATAGTCTTGAATTACAGCAATGGCCGAACAAACATCATATCAATGGACTTCAAAAGATATTCAAAATGAATTGTTAGAAATTATGTCGCACAGCGTTCTCAGATCTGTTATCAGTGATAAACATCTGAGAAAATATAATGTCTTAATTTTAGACAAAATTTGTGACATTGCAATTAAAGAACAAGTCAGCATTTGCTTAAGAGTTGTTGATAATGAATTTATTTCACAAGAATATTTTTTAGGATTTTATAACACGGACGCCACAGATGCTGGTACATTGTTCAAAATTTTGAAGGATGTTTTACTAAGGTCAATTTTTATATCAGAGATTGCCGAGGACAATGTTATTACGTTTCTGGAATTCACAATGGAGTACAGGTCAAAGTCTTAAAAATATCGCCATCTGCAATATTTGTCCATTGCAACAACCACAATATTAGTTTGACATTTCAAGATGCAATTTCTATGATGTTATTGTGCTGAGATGCAATCCATTTTGTAAAAGAACTTGTAACGTTTATCGAAGAATTCCTAAACGTTTAGCTTGTTTTTCCTTTTATCAACAAAGTAATGCTACAATTACATCATAGCGCCCATTATGTCCAACAAGGTGGACTATGTAGATGTAGCATTAAGAGCGCTTTAAACAACTAGACATCTTTGCTAAATTTTTTGAAAATCAAAGTTCTGTCAGAAATTAATATGGCGCCAAATGTGCTGGTTTTCTCACAAAAATGACATCATTTCATAATTATTTTGTGTTGCGCTGTTTGGTTCTCATATACGATAACTTGGAAACTAAGTCGAAAGCTTTGTCCAACACTGTCTATGTCAAAAGTACGCAAACTCGTAGAAAGTCTAATGCTATCGCTTCAACAGAACCGATGAAACCTTTTCGTATTTTTGGTTAAATATCACTAATGATGCAAAAATATTGAATATTAAGATTAAAGTTTGCCACGGTAGCGAAATCGTCCGAAGCGTTTACTGATGGTAACAAAAAAGTTCATGTATTCGACACATCGCAATTATTAAAAAAAAATGTATTTAGAGATCGTAGGTGCCGCTATTTCTTCACTTGAAGCTAAATTCAATTCTGATGGTTTCAAAAAACTTGCCTATTTGGAATCAAAAATTTTACATACAGCGACAATTGACCTCAGTCATTTAAATTGTGTTGCTGAATTATATCCAGAGGTGTCAAAAGACATATTACATTTACATTTGAACATGTTTCGCGAAATTTATTTACCTCAGCCACAGACATTGTCAACATTTTAAAAGATACAAACGGACACGGTTCGAATGGAATGCTAGAACTTTCTCGACTTATTAGAATATTTTGTACAATACTTGTGACAACATGCAGCTCAGAAAGATCGTTTTCCGTCCTTAGGCGCTTAAAAACTTATTTACGTTCAACAATCATTCACCTAAGATTAAACCATTTGGCCATACCACATTGCTATAAAGAACGCGCCACAATCTTTCAATTGAAGACTTGTAAAAGAATTTACTTATCGGAATGATTTGCGCAAAAAATCGTTTGCAACATGACTGTATTTAAACTAGATTTTTTAATGTTCAAAATATTTAAAAATAGAATTTTACCATTTATATTATATTGTTCAAACTTTGACTTAAAAAGAAGTTTAAATTACAGTTTGACTAAAAATAATAAAATATTAAAATTTCGGTAACTTTTGAGCCCCCCCAATAATTTGAACAACTCGCCGCCCATGCATATATAATATATGGAATATATATTCTATATATATGTTGGTGTGGCATTCTTCATCTATGTTGTTGTCATTCCTTTGTTCTTCATTGTTATTGAAATTAGTTTTAAGGCGTCGAGTTGGTAATGATGTTTCATTTTTTATTGGATGGTTATTTGGGGTTTATTGATATCTATTAGGACAGCTTCTGCAATTTTTAGATGAGTTTTGTTGGTGTTTTGACAACAACAAGATAACAATATATTCAAAATCAACAATGACAACAATATAATAATCCTATATTACAGAAATCATATGTCAACGGCACATAAAATAAACGAAGTCGAGTTCAAACAAATCATTAAAAAAATGTTACACCAATCAATGATACTAATACAATAAAACTCAGAATATACGACAATAATTGTAAAACATCACAATTGGTCTTAAAGAACAATTGCACTGCCATTATTTGAAATTTGAAAGGCGCTTGCCAACAAAAAAATGTTTAATGAACATTGCAGTAATGAATAATTTGTTGGGCTTAAAATAATGAAAAATGAAAATGTTTCTTATTGTTTTGACTGAACCATTGCAGTTATATAAATCCACTAAAATTTCTTCAGTTATCTGGTTACCACAATTTGCTGATGCATTACAAAATATTTGCTTCTCTTGCTGAATCAAGTACCTCTGCGGAATGGGCTTTGAGTATGCTAAAACTTTTTATCTAATAAAATACCTAAATCTTGTTCACAATATAATAAATTAACTTTCCCAATTTAATAACATCATTCACTATCAGTTCCCTATTATGAATTAATTGTAATGGGACATATAAAGACCAAAATTAATAATTATTTAATTGTAATGGGACATATAAAGACCAAAATATATCAATGCACAGGTAATATGATTTTAATAATATTTTTACATCATTTGCATATTTTATGATTCACTTGACCTGTCTCCATGGATTGATAGATATAAATTTTATTAGTTCATTTGTACACTTTAATGGAATTTTTAATAAAAATAACAGATAGAAATTATATTCAAAAACTAACTTACTGCTTATCTTCTGCCTAGTTCATTCCAAAGATCAGATATTTTCAGGCAGCATATCCAAAAAAATGTATCACAATTATTTGATTCAATAGTAATATTTATTATAAATAATTGAAAGAATAGTAAGATCAATATGGTATACCACATTACTGTTTTGATTAACAACAATAAAGTAAAGAAAAAGATTTATGTGGCTTGTTATCTAGTTCTAATTAAAATTAACTCATTTATTTGTTGTTGATAAAACAAGAAAATTTCGATGCCAGTAAAAACGTCGATTTTTTAAAATACACGAACAAACACACCGACATTGAAATTTTTGAGTTTATTTGAACATTAATTAAATTAATTAAAATTAGTTAAAAAAATAAAGTCAAAAATTCAAAATAAAAATACAAAAAAGCCTCTTTTCTTCTACTAGTCTGGGCCTAGTGTCTCCTGGCACAAATGTAGCATTTTTAAAACTTTTAAACAAATAACATTATAAAATCAAAATGGATTAAATAACAAATGATTCCAAAAGTTTTACATAATTCAGTTAAATTATTAAGTTAGAAATCAATTAAAACTGCCACAGAATGATTTTAGCAGTAAAAAAAATGTCTACAAGAATTTGCCGCCGGTGGCACATAAAGATTAACAGGGAAGAAGCTAAATATAGATTGGAAAACTGAAAAACCTATATATAATTCAATGACTGACATTATGCCAGTATAGCGCATAAATATTTTTTAATTGACCTGTCTCATCCATCCCGATGTCTCAACCATTTCCAATCAATTAGTTTGTAAAGCGCTATTTCCGTGATGTCTTGAGATACGCTCCGAACTTCACTAGTGATGGAGAAGTAGTTAGAGTAGGAGGTTACGGAGAGAATGGCCGGATTTCGTGACATGACGCAACTGACGTAGTTGGTACATACATTTTTTTAACCAATAGATTTACTTGTGGAACCATTTGGAACCATTGTCATACGAAAGTCCATCACAATTCCCAAATTGGTGATCGTTTTACTGAAACATATATCAGTCATACTGATGTTAATCGATGAAGGTTCAACCGCTGACGTTTGTTGCCATGTGCCAGCCAACATAAACTGAGTCTTAGTCTGATTCAACTTTAGCCTACTTTGACCCAGCCAAAAGCCGACATCAGATAAAATTTCCGTCAGTTTCTCTAATATGGAAAAGGTTTTATATATATATATATATAATGTATATATATATATAATGTACATATATATATATATATATGTTATATATATATATATATATATGTCAGAAATGCAACTATTGATAAAAATTACAGCATGTTCCGCGTTAGTTAGCTTCCCATTTAATTTTTCAATTTTTCTAACGGTAGATCGTAAATTGTCAAGTTTCTTGAGTTCAAAACCAAAATTTGTATTCATTGTAAGCATGATAGAACAGAAAAACTTTTTTCAGTATTCCTATGCCATTTTCGGTGTTAAAATTGATACGTTGCATATGTGGCCAAATGCTCAAGTATATATACACTTGTCCTTACAATGTCAATTCTTTGTTTGCTTAAAGGGAATTATTTCATTGTTAATTTAATTTTACCATAATAATTGGCCACATACACAATGTATCAATTCGAACACCGAAGATGATATAGGAATACCGAAAAATATTGTCAACTCATAAATATTCGGGCCATTAACAGTGATTACGTCTGAATACCACTTAGTGTCAATTCAGTCGCAATGTGTATGACCTATTTGATAAGAAAATCACAGGATCAAACTGATCAATACCGGTCTCAGTCGCAATACATTTTGTCGCATTACCTGTTTGATAGAAAATACACGAAATTGGAAGTAAAATCTTATAAAATTGCGTTGGATAAATCCAGTGAAATGTTACACAATTGTGAACATTATTTTCTAACAACAACCAACCAGTTTGATTATTATTGAAATCTTTAACCATTGAGTCTTTGTTACAATTACTGTCAAGTGTTTATTTAATGGAACTAAAACATAATTTAAAAAATTAAGTTTTTTGTTTATTTGTGAAACCAAATTACGTGCAAACAACCGGATGTCAACATATATTAATAACAGCATAAGTTCTTATTGTCTAAGAACGTAAGTGTTAATTACTTATAATAACTGTTCTAATTTTTTCAACCCAATCGTCTGCATCCTCGACAGTCTCAGCTAAAAATTGAAAACAGCGTTCGGGAACTTTAACAATGAATGCCATGTTAGGGTCTTTGACTTCTTTGCTGTTTGAAGCCCCAGAATTAATTAATTTTTTCTCTACTTCAAACCCCTGACTTCCAATAAACACTTCGCCTTTTGGGTAAGGACACTGCAAAATACATGAAAAATAATATGAACAATTTTTGGATAACTTTAAAAACTGAAATAAATTAAATTGTAATGCAACTAGACAAGACCTGGAGTAAATAACAATTTTTCAATTACTAAATAAAAATAACATTAGAAAACCATTAGACACTTAAATAAATTATTTATAGCAAGTTTGTTTTACCACTGACAACCTTTTACGCTAATTTGAATGAAACATGAATTCAACTTTTATGATTTCGTAGAGAATTCGTGGAGTAATTTGATTAAGGTGACTGTTGAATAAATAGGCACTAATTGAACAATAATATTGTTGCATTTTAATTATCTATCAATCTTTGATTCTATATGCTATTTATTAAATATATATATATATATATATATATATATATATATATATATATAAACCATTAAACCACGTCCTCTTCTTACTTCAATGTAGCATTCGTATGTTTTGTTCTTATGCAGATAAATATATCGTCTTTAAAACATTGCCGCAGAACGATAACCACAAGTATAAAACGCCTCAGACTGAAAAAAATTGGGAAAATTTCTGTTTTATGATAATCTTATATATTTCAGACGGCAATTCCGTTCAACATTTTGGTCTTAGGGAGCGAGGACATTAGTAGCATCGGAACCACATTAATTAGGTCAGAAAGTGATAATAAAAAAATTTAAATTTATCAAACGTCATTTTGATATGCGATTTATTTATGAGCATAAAAAATCTAATAAACCTACAAAGGGGTCTTCATAGTAAGTCAATTTTTTACTGTCCAGAGTGACCCATCTTCTTCTGAAAGCATCACCTGATCTAGGACCTGTTTTGCTCAACCAGCCCTCTTTTATATACTCCCACATAATTTTTGTGGACAACTGTCGATTTAATGTATATCAAATGGAACATTTGAAAAATAACCTACTTTAATAAGATATTAAAGTTAAGGTTGGAGATCCGTCCTTGGTAATAGATTTGTAGCAAATTTTAAAAACAACAATCGCAACCAAAATTTTTTTTAAACCATTCAAATAAAACTCGACTCACATTACAACGAAAAAAAAAATTAGGTTATGGTTGGGACATATGCCTCTAACACACTGGACAGATCTCCGCTATGCTCGATACTAAGAATGAGATAATGCGTGAATGATAGAGATGAATGAGATAAAGAATGAATGCGTAAATGATAAAAACAAACTAGCCTTTTCATATTTTAATCAATTATAATTTTTGTTAAAAAAAATTAAACATAATTTAAAAAAAAAAAATGTACATCAAACATCTAAAAAAACATCAACAACTACAGTTATTACACACATATATATGTAACCGTCTGTGTGTTTATTTTACAACGCAGTTTTCCAAATTTATTTCTGAGGTTCAATTAGTTAATTAACGACACGAATTATTTGTACGTTATACACAAATTTTTAATTAAATATTAAATTATTCATGGCACAAATACTTAAATAATTGAAATAGTAAAAAAAATCATGACGTTAATTAGCAAATTGACCAGTAAAAATAAATCGAGAGTTCGGTGTAAAAAGAAACTACGTTACATGTTATTAATGTTATTGAAACTAGCTTAGAATGTTTAGATTATTGTATAAAAACGGTCTCTTACACAATGAATACGTGTATGTATGTATGTATATATGTATGTATGTATGTATGTATGTATGTATGTATGTATGTATGTATGTATGTATGTATGTATGTATGTATGTATGTATGTTTGTATGTATGTATATATGGGATATAGACATATACATATATATGTATGTATGATATATAATTAATTTAATTTAATTTAAATTTTAATGAAATGGATACAACTGATCGTCTAATTTGGCGTAAAACATTGACGGCAAAGAAAACAACGAGGGAACTTGGTCTCTGGACGCTAAACGAAGATTGATTGTATGTTTGTATGTATGTATGATATGCATATATATATATATATATATATATATATATATATATATATATATATACGTACGTATGTATGTAGAAACTGGAAAATAACGGGTGTTCAGCCAGAGTTTTCAGAAAAAGAGTTTCCGTCATCGAGTGTTTTGGTCCATTAACTTCATGACACTCTCGAAAAAACGGGTCATATCCAGCGATCAGTTTGATGTCTCCTGCTGAACAAACAATTTGATTTGCCTCTCGATCTCATTTTATACTAGAATAATGTGTAGTAGTACCGAACAGTTCATATAAAAATATCACGATGCGGGCATTAAATGCGAAGACGGAGTTGGGATCTGGCTGATGATGGGTCTAATGGGATCGTTTGGTTTGTGTGTCTTAACAGGGTTGTAATCTCACATTACTTGATTGAAATTATAGAATATTTGCGTTTTTTGCTAATATTTTCAGTTAATTTATAGAGCTGAGCAAAAGGCTAGGCCCACTGGTTATAACTGGTGGTAGTCGTCACGATGTAAAACTTTTCCCAAAATTATTCTATGCCATCAAAAACAAAAACAATGGCCCCTAGTCCCCAGCAGGCCTTAAGTGGTCAAGGGGTGATAACAATCCCTTGGAAGTATGCAATAGCGGAGGGATGTTGCAGAAAAATTCAGAATGGTCCCTCTATGGTACTTAAACTTGGAACGCTCAATGTTGGACCACTGACTAGCAGCATGGAAATTGCAGAAATGCTCGAACGTAGACGGATTGACATCTGCTGTCTTCAGAAGACCCGATGGAAATCGAATGCTGTCTGTCATGTCAACTCAGACAATGAAAAATATAAACTATTCTGGAATGGTCAAAAGACGGTCAAAAATGGTGTTGGAATTTTTGTCAAAGAACCGCTAGCCCAAGAAGTACTGGATATTAAAAGGATTAATTCACGTCTCATGTGGATCAAGCTTCGCATAGAAAAGCAAACAATGACTATTTTTTTCTGCATACGTACCACAGACAGGCGAATCAGAAGAAATGGTAAATGACTTCAGGGCTGCGTTCTCTGACACTATCTCAACAATACCAAAATCTGAAACAATCCTGATTGGAGGCGATCTCAGTCTCAAAACAAACGGTTTTGACAACGTACATGGCGGTTTTGGCTATGGAGAACGGAATGAAGATGGCAACCGCGTCCTCGAGTTTGCTGAAAGTCACGAGTTTTGTTTACTGAACACATATTTTAGAAAGAAGTTGGAACATCTCATAACATACAAAAGTGGACTATCAGCCCCGCAAATTGATTTCTTCGCTGTCAAGCAACAACACCGAAGGCTATTTAAAAATGTCAAAGTTATACCTGGCGAATGATGTGTCGCCCAACATAGATTCCTTGTGGCAGACCTGGCTGTCGAACCGTCACAACATAAGTCTTAACAAATGCCTCGGGGAATCAAAACGTGGAAGCTGAAAACCAATATTCATCGAGAAAAATGTCAACAGATTGTCGCCACACAGTTAGACCACCAATCGCTAGCCAGTACCGATTGGAGTACATACAAAACCGTTTTCATACAAAATACAATGCAATAACTGAAAAGAAAGCTGCATACAAGCAATGGCAAAAATCAAAGTCTGTTGATGACCATAAAATTTTCCGTGAGAAGAACAACTATGCAAGATGTCAAGTCGCACTGGCTCGGGCAGATCTGTGCAGAGAGTGGGTCACTAAAAGCAAAGGTGGACAAATGAAATCTCTGTATCGTATAGCAAAACAAGAAAAGTGTACGAAAAAAGACATAGTTCGTGCCTCATGTATCAAAAACGACAAAAATGAGATGGTTCTTAAACAGGTGTCCGGAAAATTCATCGTGGAAAATTCATCGTGGGAAATTCATCGTGGGAAAATTCATCGTGAGGGAAAATTCAACGTGGGAAAATTCATCGTGGGAAAATTCATCGTGGGGGAAAATTCATCGTGGGGGAAAATTCATTGTGGGAAAATTCATCGTGGGGGAAAATTCTTCGAGGGGGAAAATTCATAGTGGGGTAAAATTTATTGTGAAAAACAGTTTTTGCAATTACACACCTTACAATTTTGTCATGACGAGTATGCAAACGTGCCCGACATACAAGATTTTGATATTGATCACATTTCCAGAAAGTTTTTTCTTCTGTAGCCGCATCTTTTACGAACAAGTGACCTGAGTCAATTAATTTTCTTTTTCCTTTTTCACTGTACACGAATTCTAGTGACATTTTTACACAAAAATTAGCGAATCGTGATGCAAAAACTACTTCCTCATTCTGACACACTTCACATACAGTATTTATAGACTTTTACTTAACTTACTCAGACACGTCCGACGTCCGCGGTCCACCTTTGTATATATTTTCTATACCATACTAAGGGTATACAAATGATAGTATTAATAAGCATGGATGCTATACGTTGCCTATTGATATAACCTCCAATACAGTATACTTTGTATATTATACGTATATATTATATACGTTATATGTTATATACGATATATACCATGAATTTCACTCCATGGTGAATTTTACCCCACCACGATGAATTTTTCCACGATGAATTTTACCCCACGATGAATTTTACCCACGATGAATTTTACCCACGATGAATTTTCCACGATGAATTTTACCCCACGATGAATTTTCCCGCGATGAATTTTCCACGATAAATTTTCCCACGATGAATTTTCCACGATGAATTTTCCGTAAACCTCTTAAACAAGATGAGATCAAGCTACAGTGGAAAGATTATTTCAACCGTTTGTTAAATGAAACAAATCCCACCAATGTTAACTTTGACGCTCCACCCATCGAAGGTCCGATTCCAGACATAACTGTAGAAGAGTTTCAGTTTGTAAAGCTGATGTAGTTAACAGTTCAATCAAGTGTCAGCAGTGTAACCAGTGGTGTCACAAACGTTGTTCAAAAATGATTGGTACTTTATCTATAGTGTCCAATTTTGTTTGTTTTGCTTGCATCAAACCCCAACAACAAATACGAAATACCAATGTTTTTAAAGCCATGAAGGTAGAGAAAGTCACATCGTTTCAATATCTAAGGGATGTTCTAGATTGTACTGGAACAGCTGAAGCTGCCGTTCGAGCACGCATACGTGCAGCTTGGAATAAATGGCATCTCCTTGCCTCTATATTGATGCCGCGTGACATCCCACTACCACTACGATCAAGACTTTATAAATCTGTGATACGTCCGGTGTTGTTAAATGGTACAGAAACATGGCTAATGACAACCAAACTGAAACAACACCTTCAACGAACCGACATGAAAATGCTCCGATGGATGCAACGAATTAGTCTGAAGGACCATATCAAATCTACCGAAATCCTGCGTCGTCCTGGTTTAGATCATATAAAGGACGAATGCCGGCAACACCGTCTGCGGTGGTTTGGTCATGTCAAACGAAGTGGAAACCGTGCCATAACTTCTCTTGCAGATGTTGAAGTACCTGGCACACGTCCCAAAGGCCGTCCAAAGAAGTCCTGGTCGCAAACAATCGAGCAAGACATGAAAGCTCTAAATTTAAATGAAATGGATACAACTGATTGTCAGGGTTCAGTGTAGCGCTATACGATTTAAATGGATAACCAGTAAACAAGTAATTAATATCTCGGGGCCGTGGTGATTTCAAGTTAAAAAACGTTTAAAAAAAAGTTGGTTAAAAATATTGAACTGCTCTTCAAGGACAAATAATTATTAATAACTCAGTTTGCGTGAGTTGTTAATAACTTGTCGCAATTTCTGAACATGGGAGTGATAGCGGCCAAACGTCTATAAAAGCGCTGGGAAGGTCCCGTCAACAGGCTCAGAAATTCAGTTCAGGAGTTGTTGTCGTCGCGAGAGTTATCGTGGAGTCTCGGAAGTTGAAGTGGTAGATTCGTGAACCGACGATTTGTGAAATATATATGTATATATTTAATTAATTGTTTAGAGATATTGACTAATAACGTTGTTTAACTAATTAATTAGAGATATTGACTAATAACGTTGTTTAATTAATTTAATTGGAGATATCGACTCATAACGTTGTTTAATTAATTGTTTAGAGATATTGACTAATAACGTTGTTTAATTAATTAATTAGAGATATTGACTCATAACGTTGTTTATTAATTTAATTAGAGATATTGACTCATAACGTTGTTTAATTAGTTTAATTAGAGATATTGACTCTTAACGTCAGTTTGTAATTATTGTTACTTGCCTGACATTATAAACAGTATTTCACTTTGTAATAGAGAAATTGCTACAACATACTTGTTCTTGTCGCGAGGTTGAAATAATAATAAGAAAAGTTAAAGAACGAACCCTTACAACTGATCGTCTAATTTGGCGCAAAAAATTGATGGCAAAAAAAACAACGTCCTACCTCGGGGAACTTGGTCTCTGGACGCTAAACGAAGATTGATTGATTTCTTTTAATTCATTCTGTGAGATTTCTTTTAATGGTTTTAAAATTGTTTGTGTCTTTGAGTATGTTGTCTAGTTTATCGTTGTATTCGTTTTTCTTCACCAAAGCAAAAAGAGCAGATTTGTCAGCTCTCTTCATCCGGTTGTTGATTTGTTGTTAATGTTGCCCCGCTTCAAACATCGCTGGCGGATTCCAAACGGGGTCTGAGCCAGTTGGCCACAGCAACCGGGTTTCTCCATAGATCTATTACTGCAAGATTTATAGCGTTGTTTGGACAGCCAAACAGATAGGTGACATCTTCGGGATATTTGCGGCATAATGAATAGTAGCTGCTGACCTTAATGTCGATTCTTGCTCTATAGCTGTTAAGAGAGTTTCAGTAACCTGAGCGGAGTTGGGTCAGCGTTCTTCTCATTGCTCTGGGTAAATTCTCTTCTGCCTTATCTATTTTAGAAGTCGGGAGTGGCCATCTGTTAAGCAGCCCGGCGACATGATATGACTAAGAGACGAGTTTCGAGGCGCTACTGTGCAGAGTAGTTAATGCTGCCTTTAGCGTACTGCTGTTAATGTCCATGGGCAGCATCGATTGTACCGCATGTGAATGTTTGGTGTAAATGGTCTCTTTCATATTTCTGTAAGGTCGTGGCTCTCTTCTGATGTAGTGGCAGGAGTGATTTGTGTTATGGCAATATAATAGAAACTGTGATGATAGTAGGTCGGTGTGCTGCCTTACGGAGAGCATTTGGCACTCTGAAAAGGAGTGCTGCTCTGACGCTATCATATAACATCCAGTAATTACTCGTAAAGCAGCATTCTGTGTGCGTTGAAGTTTGCTGTAGCTTGTATGAGAAGTTAGTGGAGACCAGAAAGGGCAGGCATATTCAAGCACTAATCGGCCAATGGCCTTGTATGCCTACAGCAGGGTTTCTTTGTCCTGGCCAAACGAGGTTCCACCGAGAGCTTTTATTATTGAATTACGTTTGGAGGCCTTAGATGCTATAAGTCTGTGATGCTGAGAAAAGGATAGCATCGTGTCAAAAGTGAGGCCCAACATTTTTGAATAGTGTTGAAATGGAAGATGCTGGTTATTGATTTTGACTTGTGGGTGATAGTGATATTGCGATGTGTGAGAGTTGAAAAGTAGATGGTAGATATGGAGATGGAAATCTCCAAATTAAGTTGGTGTAAAAAGTTATATAACTCCGACAAGTAGCTGTTAAGACGCCGAACCAAAATGTTCTCGAGCTTGTTATCAGGTTAGTTCTCGCGTAAAAACGTTCCACAACTTTGATTTTATTTGTTTTAATCAAGCAACAACTTAAAAAAGTGTCCTGCTTCCTAAATAACAATAGAATTAAGTTTTTATATCTGATTAAATTTATAATTAAGAACATTGTTGAATAAAAAATGCAGAGAGTCAAAATAATTGCATCCGGACCAGTGGTGTAGATGAAGAAGTCATCCGCATAAGAAATGATCTTGATGTCTGGAAGTGGCACAAGAGTTTTTGAGACGTAGTAGTTAAAAAGCCAAGGCGACAACACTGATCCCTGGAGCACTCCAGTGTTGATGATTCATTGTTTCGAGTGCAGTGTCAAAAATGGTTGTTGCAGCGTGTCCGTGCAGATAATTCGAAAGCCAGCAAATAACAGACCTTGGGAGTGTTGAGGTAAGAAGATCCGAGAGCAGAGTTTCATGAAAGCATGCTAACTTGTCCAGATTATATTATGATCAACAATAAAGTTTAAAAGTTTATTTAAAATAACACTAACGTTAACTACGTCAACATTTGGGTAAGCAATTTTGAGTCTGTTTAATTTTGCTGCTCTAACCGCTGTATACCATTCGATGAGCTCCTAAAAATATTTAGAATTTAATATAAGAATAATGTTACTTGGGAAATTAATGACGACTCATGAAATATATGAAAGTCTAAATAATACAACAATATAAAATATATTTCAAATATAAGTAACATTATTGTCGGATATGGTTTTAATTAACAATATTTGTGAGGAAGCGAATTGTAAATAAAAGTTCAAAAATAAAATAATCAAAATCAAAAAGAGTCAAAAGAATATACAGAGCAAAAAAAAATATTATGCAAAATGTTACGCGTAATAAATAAATGAATGAACGTATTAACGCAAAAACAGCCGATTGAAAAAATCTATAAATACAAAAAGTAATGTAATTAATATTTATTACTGCCGCATCAATTATGTTGCAGAAATATGATGTTATAAAATATATATCTACATTTGAGCTCTATGCGAAAAAAAATCATTTCAAGAAATCCCAAGTTCTTACCTGACCGTCGTCGGCGTAGATGAATAGGTTCCTTGTTTGCTCATTCTGCTCATATAATATTTGCATTGCATTTGGATGACCTGAAATTTAGTAAATTATATTTCGACTAAAATTATTAAAACTAAATATGTTTATTAATTTTATGGTTGCATCAAGTGTAAAACTTTCTGCATCGGTTAATTAGTGATTATGTCAAATAGATGACAAATACTGCCAGCCTATGATAACATTATATAAAAATTAGATATGTTTGTTTTAAAAATGGTAAGATCTTTATTTTTTCTAAACATAAATTTTACATGGAAAGTAATATTTATATTTAATGCATAATTTACTCATAGTTGTCGAAAAAATAAGTTAATGTAGACAACACTTAACTTTTCTTCTGTTAAACTCAATATAAATAATTTCCTTCCAAATTAAATGAACAGTCAAAATGTTGAATTGCATAAGAGTCATAGGTTGTTTAAAAGACTTGAAAAAGATTTTATTTTCAAGTTACAATAATGTTTATCCAATAAAATAGCAACTGTAGAATATCAAACGACAAAATAGTTACGTTATTTTCATTCAAATTCATTCAAATCATTTATTTAAACGTATTAAAATAACGTATAAATGGTTTCAAAAATTCAAAAGTATAAACGATTTCATGAAAAACTTGATTTATTTACAATGAAGTGAAAGAATTTGAGTATAATTGAAAATCTAATTTTTTGCAAAATACATGGAACAGTGAAGACAGTGAAGCCTGCTTGCATCAATCCCCAACAACAAATTCGAAATAGCACTGTTTTTGAAGCCATTAAAAAAGAGAAAGTCACATCGTTTCAATATCTAGGGAATGTTCTGGATTGTACTGGAACAGCTGAAGCTGCCGTTCGAGCACGCATACGTGCAACCTGGAATAAATGGCATCTCCTTGCCTCTATATTGATGCCGCGTGACATCCCACTACCACTACGATCAAGACTTTATAAATCTGTGATACGTCCGGTGTTGTTAAATGGTACAGAAACAAGGCCAATGACAACTAAACTGGAACAACAACTTCAACGAACCGATATGAAAATACTCCGATGGATGCAACGAATTAGTCTGAAGGACCACATCAAATCTACCGAAATCCTGCGTCGAGCTGGTTTAGATGATATACAGGCGAATGCCGGCAACACCGTCTGCGGTGGTTTGGTCATGTCAAACGAAGTGGAAACAGTGCTATAACTTCTCTTGCAGATGTTGAAGTACCTGGCACACGTCCCAAAGGCCGTCCAAAGAAGTCCTGGTCGCAAACAATCGAGCAAGACATGAAAGCTCTAAATTTAAATGAAATGGATACAACTGATCGTCTAATTTGGCGCAAAAAGTTGATGGCAAAGAAAACAACGTCCTATCTCGGGAAACCGGGTCTCTGGACGCAAAACGAAGATTGATTGATTAATTAGTGAAGACAGTTTAGAAAGAAAAAACCGTTGGGCAAGGAGAATAATAATTAAATATCACAGGGACACTGTATAATATCACTTATGATTTCGCGTAAAACTAAAAAAATTAAGTTTTTGAATAAATAATAAGAAAGAAAAAATAAAATTAAGTGAAACAGAACTTGAAAAAGACTAGGGTATATATCTGTAAAATAACCTAAAATTGAAAGAACATGTCTATTATGCAGTTGGAAAAGCGAACAAAAAACTAAGCATGATTAGAGAGTCTTTTCAGTTTATAGACGAAAAATCACTAAAACTGCTTTATACTAGGAATACGACGGTTCCGGATTCGGATTTTAAAAGATTCAGATACGCAGATCCAAAGTTGAGGATCCACCAATCTAAAGAACGACGAAACTTTTTTCCATATTGGGACCTTTGTTGTTTATAATATTTTTGAACGATATCTTTTCTGTATTCGATAGATGCACTGTGCTGTTATTTGCTGACGATACCAGTATTTTTTTGTCAGGTAAGAGCCTGCTGGACTTATTCACGAAGATGAATAGCCAGCTTAGTGTGATTTATGATTGGTTTTTGTCCAATGGGCCGACACTGAACATATCCAAGTCTTGTTATGTCATCTTTGGTCCCTCGATAAAAACGAACAAGGTACCCCTGAGTGGCTTGGAGCTGATTATCCAGGACATATCTCTTCCACGGGTTCATTCGGTAAAATTTTTGGGAATTGTTATACAAAGTGATCTGAAATGGAATGAGCACATCGACATGATCGTCCATCGGCTGTACCGTGCGGTTGGGATTCTGTTTAGAGTGAGAGACAGATTGAATGTCAAGTCAATGATCTTACTTTATTCTTTTTTTATCCACATTTGTTATATGGAAATGTGTTTTGGGGATCCGCCAGTAAATATTGGATCAATAAAGTTTTAGTGATGCAAAAACGTTTTATGCGAATAATTTTTTCTTTGAACTTTGTTTTTTGGAGATCCGCCAGTAAATATTGGATCAATAAAGTTTTAGTGATGCAAAAACGTTTTATGCGAATAATTTTTTCTTTGAACTTTCGCGATCATACTGATGACGTGTTTCGTAACCATCAAATTGTTAGAATAGAACAATTACATAATTTTATTCTGCTGGCATTTGTTTATAAAATACTTATTAATAAAGATCATGAGCAGTTAAATTTTTTTGATAGGGTTCAGACAACTACCAGGCAACGTGGTCAATTGTTGTTAAAAAAATTTAAAACTTCCACCTACCAACCACCTACCAACGTAGCTGGATAATAAGGGGTTCAAAATTATGGAATGATTTGGCCATGGATGGTCAGACACATCTGTCTTTGAAGAGATTTAAGCCATGTGCAAAAGACGCTGTCTGTCTTTGAAGAGATTTAAGCTATGTGCAAAAGATGCTGTGATGACATGTGGGCGTGCTAATTGACTGTGTTAATGTATGACCTTCATTTGTTGTGTGATACAGTACTTTTTTACTTTTTTTATGCAATGTATTTGTTTATGAACGTGGTTGCTAAATGTATTTAACTAATTATACGAATGTATTTTCTGTTGTTTTTTTTTTCTTTTTACTAATGTCTATTAATGTAATTTTTTGTTTGATTTTAGTCATGGGTGTTCTTCGCAAGTACTTTTGTTACTATTTTTGATCTCCTGACTTTTTTTTTGTCAAATGAATTTGACAAAATTATTTTTGTTATAATTATTAAAATTTAATTGCTGTCGTTGCTGTTGGATTAGTAGGCATTTATTAGTAAACGAATTTTTTTCAAAAAGTTTACAAAGAGTTTAAGAAAAGAGTGAAATCATAATTTAAAAAGTGAATAACTCACCAATCTTTTTAGGCAATATCATCATGTTTATCCCATCCAGTCTTAAACAGCCCTTTGGGTCACGATCCTGTCGGGTTAATTGAAGTTAATGATGTGCACATAACAAAGGGAAAAATCATAGGCGAAATAGTTTATTTTTAATGCTAAATTATTAATAAACTTTAAAAAAAACAAAAACGGGCGATATAGTTTAGATGACAACGATGTTATCTAAAAAAAAATAAGATAATTATAGAAAAAAAATAACAAAAATGATTAGTAACCTCTTCTTTCCTAAAATATTTCAGTGTGTTTTCAGTTGTATCCAAAATAAACCTTCGTTTCTGAAAATGCTTATCATCCTTACCCTTTTTCCACAAATACCCTTCTTTATACCCTGCAGCATAGGACAATTTTTTATCCCCAAAAAACTCCTTTCTTTCATATTTTGCGCGAATCCATTGTTCTTTCACAACTCTTTCAATTTCAAATTAACATCAATTTGAACAAGAAAAATAAAATGGAACTTTACATTTAACAATTAAAAAAATACAAATAAATAAAAATTACTTAAAGCGATAAAAAAAATTTGAATAAATACTGAGGATCTGAAGGTAGTGGCCTTTTGTAGAACAATGGGACGTTTTCCTCATATTTACTGTTAACTTTTGTATTTCCTAAAGATCTCAGGCTCTAAAATAAATAAGAATTTAATCAATTTTAACAGTGCTTCAATGTCAGATTCTACATTCACAAAACCACATATGCTAATGTTTATATGTACGAAAAATGTCGAACGTTCAAACCATGAACTTATTAATAAGTAGACAATGGGTTCATTATGCGCAATACTTGTGTGAATATACCTGTATATGTGTATATACATCATTTCGGTTGGTGGTCGTTTTATTTTTTTATTTATTTTTTTTTCATCCTATCCCGGTTACCATGGAAAAAGTTGGATGCTTGCGAGAACATGTGGATCAGAAAAATGATGCGAATTGGCTACATGTCACAAATGAGGAAATCAGGAAAAGAACAGGACGAATGATGTTATTAAAAAGAGAAGAACGAAGTGGACAGGACATGTGATGAGAATGGAAAAGTTCAGAATACATAAAAAATCCTAAAAGTATCAACCAGAAGGGAAAAAACTAAAAGACAGACCTAAAACAAGATGGAACGAGTGACTTAGTCGAGATTTGGAAAGAGCTGGGCTATCAATACATGATAGAACAACTGATAAAACTACAATATCACTAAGAAAGATTGAGAAAGACAGAAACTGATGGCAACAAGTCATTTTGGCCTCTTTGGTTGGAGACAACCGACCACTGAAATAAATATGTATAGATATTATTGGAACGAGTCCGTGTGAAGCAGCTTTTGAACGAATTAAAAGAGAATTATGTGGAAGCGCCTTGTTAGCACATTCAATCCGAAGTAAACCGTCTGTGCTAGATAATGACGCAAGTAACTGTGGAGTTGGCGCGGTTTTGTCTTAACAGGTTGACAGAAAAGAAAAAAATTTAGCGTATTACAGCAAAAGACTTACAAATCCTTAACTGCGAAATCAGAAAAGAGTTGCAAGCGATAGTCATGACAACAAAACATTTCCACAAGTGCCTCTACGGAAAAAAATTTTATCTTTGAACAGATCATGCAGCGTTAAAGTTGTTGCTCAATTTCAAAGATTCAGAAGGACACGTGGCACGATGGTTGGAACGATTGTAAATGTACAATTTTGAAATAATGCATCGTAAAAGAACCTCCCACAGTAATGTTGATGCTCTTTTTCGTCGACCTCGTTTACCAGGTTGCAAATACTGCATTCGACTGGAAGAAAAAGTACAAACAGAAGGTGTACGGAAAATTACGATAACGGCAGATACAGGATGGGCATCGAAAAAACTGCCTAGCGCACAGTTTGCAGACGAAGACTTACAATATCTAAGTTTGGTTCGTCGTTCAAAAAACTACTGGGCCCAGTAGGACTTCCTTGCATTTGGAAGATTGGTTGCTTAAACGAAAATGAGAATCGACAGATGATCGAATGCAGATTGTAATACCTAGAAATAAAATTGCTGAAACTCTTAAAAAAATGCATGGTGGCCCATCAGCAAGACATCTTGGAGTTAATAAGACGCCTGACAGAATACATGAGAGGTTCTACTGGGTTAACGCTAGAGAAAATGTAGAAAGTTGATGTCAAAAATGTAATAATGTAATTACGTGCGCTGCAGTGAAAGGTCCCAAAAAGAGGTTACGAGGAAAAATGCAAATGTATAATGTTGGTGTGCCCCTCGAAAGAATTGCTATCGACATTGCCGAACCATATCCTGAATCAAATGATAAAAACCGTTAAATTCTGGAGTAGCATCGATTCGATGGCAAACTGGCAACCAGTAAAGCTCGATACAGACATATGTTGAAAAAGATTTATATTTTCAGTGACACAAGCAATTATCCGTGCTGCAGTGTTTAAAATAAACTGATCGTAGTTTTGAAGATACAGACTGGTACCATACATGACTGTGTTGCTGTGGTCTATTCTGTCAAAATGAAAGTTATGTATCAACGAAATTAAACATTTGTTTGTGAGGTATTTCATTGTGTCTGATTTGAAAAAGTCAAAAAAAAACATGATCGGCAAAAATCATTTACATTCACAACATTTAGTGACAGATCCAAAATTTTGCAATGAGGGAATGATTTTAAAACTCTAAAACCGATGATCTTTTTCCGTAATTATAGTTCATTACTATTTCGATGGGGTGAGATGATTTCAACATTCTTGAAATGAATTTTTTTTAAATTTCTGTTTACTTTATCTTTAATATTTTCCTCTTCCCTGCATCCCTTAGAATCCGTCGCTGACATCTGCAGCTAAGTTTCATATCTATCGCGCACACTTACAAGGTCTGCACCAAAAAAACTAGAAACAACTTCAACAAAAGCTGAAGATCCAACAAAATATGGATGAAAACTTGTTGAAAATTCCTGTAGTAACTGACATCAGTCCAGTACCAGATGACATGTTCAAAATTGTTATTTGTAAAGGTCACACATGTCAAAAACTGTCAGCAGCTGTAGTAAAGCATTGTGCTCATGTAATAAACTGTAAACATAGCCTAGAGTGTGCTGCAGCATACAAACAATGCCATGAAACTTAGCGTGAAAAAGCAATGCCCATTCAGTTCAAAACTCTACTTATGAGTGATGTTGGTGATGAGGATGAAAAATGATGGCATTGTGGATAAAGTCATTAACTATAATGACACATTTTATTCTCGAGGATGACTATATTTTATGCCTTGATCGTATGAAAAAGTTGAATTTGTAGGATAAATAAAATTACTAAATTTATATTAATTTACTTTTTTGGATTTGTGTTTTAAACAAATAAAATTAGCTGTATTTTGCTCGTAGTTTCTTTATTACACTAAAAATCCTAATTCAGTTAATGACATGTTTTTAAGCGAAAAAATGAGCATAATTGCATATTTTCCAGATGCCATAACTTTTTTCCCGGAGTAGAAATCATCTATATACATTATATTATTGATTCATTGTGTTCAATCAAACCTATTAGATAAGTAAACTTTGATCTTTAGCTAACTTGCATTTGTCTGTAAATCAAAGCATCTCTAAATGTAATAACGATGGCAACCCCAATTTATGCACACATTATATAAATACATGTAATTAACTAATTAAATAATTATAAGTTTATAAAATATCAAATGAAAAGTAATAAACTGTTAATACATTCAATGTATTATCATCCCAGTTTTCAAGATTCAACGATTTTACTTTACTTATGTGAGGACCAAGAGTTTTGTGTATTGCAGCACAATTTTCACAGATTAATATTCCCAAGTTGTAAGCTGAATATTTAGGATCTGGGTGTAAAAAATATAAATTATTGTATTACTCACAAATCATACAATATTTCAGCGTGAGTTGAACTAACGTATAAACTAACCAAGCTGCATCAACGAGTTATATGATAATAGGCCCCAATGCTCTTCACTCACTTTTAACGTCTTTCCTAAAATCAAAACCGTGTTGTGCCTAGGGTTTGATTTACCGATAACCGATAATTTTGATTACTAAAACCTAACAATATAACTTTATAGCAAATGCCAAAATTGTCGGTAATTTTTAAAATTAATTGGAAATTAATTTAGGAAAAATATATCGTAGGCACAAAGCATGCCATCTTTTTTATTAACTTGATTTCGACTCTGACAGTCCGACTAACAGTTCTCTAAATATATTTAACTATTAATAATTTTAGACGTTATTGAAGATTTCAATTTGAGGTGTGTTTCAAATTTTAATAAAAAACATTTTTGCTGTTTTTCTAAGAAGGATAATGCAAACTTTATTACCTTCAGACAAGAAAAATATTTCCAATTAATTAAAAGGTATTTAAAAAGTAATTTATGATAAGACTTTTTCCTGGAAAGCCCTAGCAAGCATTTAAACATTTAGGAGCTTGAACGCATACAAGTTGTGGAACGGCCTCATTTGCAATCCCACAAATGTAGTATTAATATTAAATTATTGATACTTAAACTTCCTCAGCACGAATTATTGTAGGATAGATAACAACCGAGCACATAAAATTTACAGCAAATAAAGCCTTACAACAAAACGTGTGTGTGTGTGTTTGCGAACTACTGTGCACGTTGAATGTGTGTGTGTATGGGTGTGTAAGTGTATTTGTATGTATGGTATAATTTAATTTAATTAATTTTGGAACTCTTGATATTTTTTTAAGTTTTAAGAGTTTTTTTACATTTTTGGTTCGGAACCACATAACATAACAAAACACAACATAACATAACACAACACAACATAACATAACATAACATATATATTATAGTGGTTCAGGAGATGACTCTGTGTGAGGACCACTCTAACGTTTAACGCTGCACTCTCTATCCCAATCGCGGACGACCCCTTCCCATCACTCCTTCAACCTCGAACTTCAACGCTCGCCTAATCCCAACCCTTTCATCCCTTCTCAACACATGTCCATACCACCGCAATCTCGATCTCATTATCAATGTCACAATGTCCTCATTCAGTCCCATCATCGACATCAGCTTTGTACTACTCATCCTATTCATCCTTTGTACTACTATTACGTCATCGTCGTCATCGCCATTACGTCATCGTCTTAAGAGTTCGTCACGGCATCATTGTTTCGTAATTTTGTTGTTATCACTATCACCCTGTCATTAATGACCGTGTTGTCATCACCGTACCACAGTCGTCATCATCATCGCCATCATCACAACATTTGTTGTTTCATTCTTTTTCAATTTTTTAACCCCACACATCATCCTCACCATAGCTCTTTCAGCCCTCTGCAGTACACTTTCCTCCTCTCCTATCAACACCCAAGTTTCACCACCATATACTATCGCTGCTCTCACACATGCTTTATATACCCTCCCTTCCATCTTCACTGACCATTTCTTTCCACACAATACCCCACCAAGTTCCCTAAATTTCATCCATCCCACACGAACTCTAGCCGTAACAGCGCTCAAACATCCTCCATCCACGTTCAGTTTAACCCCTAAATAAACAAAACTTTCCACTCTTTCAATATTACCTCTCAACCCAGTCCTAGCGTCCGTCCTATTAATCACACCATGAACACATATCTTACATTTGAACGTGCCTTCCACCTTTTTCAGTGCCCCCCTCACACCACTACATCTCTTATGCACCCACTTCTGACATCCTATACACAATACCGAGTTAGCCTTCACTCTCCTGTCACATACCCCACAGGGGTCTACTTTACTTATCACTCGTTTTCCACCTTCCCCACTCACCATTACCTTCGTCTTACCAATATTAACTTTTAACCCTTTCTTTTCAATAACACTTTTCCATCTGTCAAATTTTAACTGCAATTCTTCCATGCTATCAGCCATCAAGACTAAATCATCTGCATACAAAATCTCAAATAACAACTCCTCCATTATGTTTCCACACACAACATCCATCACAATTGCAAACAAAAACGGTGATAACACTGATCCTTGATGCACTCCTATCTTAACACTAAAGGCGTCCTTCCGACCCTCTCCTTTGTTTTCGCACCTTCATACAGCTTTAACAAGTCTCTCATTCACTCCTTTCTTCCTCAACGCCCATTCAATGACCTTCCTCGGTACTCGACCAAAAGCCTTTTCTAGATCCACAAAACACATGTACAATCTTCGTTTCTTCTTTCTATAATTCTCCTGCAACATTCTCACTATGAACAACGCATCCACCGTTCCCCTACAGGGCATAAACCCACACTGCATTTGATTAACTGCCACCATATTTCTCAACCTCCTCTCAAGCACCCTCTCCACTACCTTCATTTCATGCTCTAGCAATTTCACACCCCTATATGATCCACAATCTCTCACATCTCCTTTGCCCTTATACTGTTAGCAATTCTCATCATAACTTCAATTCCTATCATCCCACTCGCCTTCATGTGTTCCGCCGCCACTTCCGAAACCCCTGTCGCCTTACCTAGTTTCATTTCTCTAACTGCTTTCTCTACTTCCTCCATCGTCACCTTTTCTATGGGTCCGTGTGTGACCGCGGATTCCACATCTCCATCCAACTCATTCTCTTCATTCATCAACTTTTCCATATGAGCTTTCCACACCTGAGCTTTTTCTTCCTCATCTATGCACAACTTGCCAGATCCATCCCAAACATATCCATTCCCTATAACATCTTTCCTATCCCTCATTGACTGCTTTGCTACTTTGAACATTTTCCTCGAACTCACATCAAATTCCATTTCCTTCATTAACCTATCTGATGCTTTCGTCATTGCAGTTGCCACTGCTCGTTTTGCAACCTTCTTAGCCTTCCTATACTCAGACTCCGCTTCCCCCGTCATGTCCCTTCTCCACACCTTGAACCTCTCCTTCTTGACCTCCAAAACCTTTCTTATATCTTCATCCCACCACCACGTCCATGCCTACACTTTCCTTTCGTCCATCCACATACTTTATCTGCCGTAGCCAACACACAGTCCCTATATCTCTCCCAAACATCTCCATCCTTACCACTCCCCCAACTTTCAGCCACCTTCACTTCACAACTTTCAGCCACCTTCACTTCAAATGCCTTCCTCACCTCTGCATCCTGTAACTTCCATGTCTTTCTCTTTGCCACAAACTTATCCTTCTTCCTCCTCCCCATTTCTTTTGATGCCACATCCATCACAACCATACTATGCTGCAACATACCAGGTATCGCCTTCACATTCCTTACATACTTTCTATGCCTCGCCCTTATCAATATATAATCTATCATTGACCTATGCTCCCCTGACCTATATGTAATTAAACCAGGTATTCCCCACCACCATGCTATGTGCATCCGCCAACTCCAACACTCTACGCCCTTCCTCATTCCGTATACCATATCCCCATTCCCCATGTACACCTTCATATCCGTCTGTATCCGCCCCCACATGACCATTCAAATCACCCAACACCACAAACTCATCCAACCCCGCTTGCCCAATCTCGTCAGAAACATCATCATAAAACCTATCCTTCTCCTTTTCCTTCTTACTTTGTTGCGGAGCATATCCTGATATGACCCTCACTATTATCTTTCCAAACACCATCACCACCACAATTACACCATTGCTTTTCCGCCTCACTTCCAACACCTTCTCCACCAACTCTTCTCTTACCATCACACCAACTCCTCCCGTACCATTATCCCCCTTCCACCACAGCTTATACCTTCCACCTTTAGCCCCCACAAACCTTGTACCCTCTCCCTTCCATCTGATCTCCTGTAAAGCAGCCACGTCAACCATTCTCCTCTGCAACTCCTCCACCACTTCCAAACTCCTTCCTGTCAGTGTGCCTACATTCCAGGTACCAAACCTCCAGCCCCTTGGTCTACAAGTAATCCATCCATCCATAGTGCCTATAGAGTGGGGTGCCAGTAGCCAGACCATCCACAGGGCCTTGCACCGCAAACCCATGGACTGGGTCTCCGGAGATTCTTCGCACCCTCTTCTGCAGGATACTGAGAGCCATTGTCACTTCTGTCATCATAAATATTTTTAAAGGCTAATTTTTACACAGGACGCCCTTCCTTACGCAACCAGTTATAAGCGGTGGGCCTAGACTTTGATGATCCAACATCACTCACAAGGCAGTGAGGGTCAGTTTAATGTCATAACCAGGTCCAAGCATATAAACAATATTAGCAGAACAATTATTCTTCTCATAAAACTTTACAAATAACTACAGCAGCTAGAAAATATCTGAATTTCCAACTTTAAGAACGCAGAGGAAGTACTCAAAGTTTCGTTTATATTAATATTGTTAAAACTAGTTACAATGCAAAACTGATGAGACTGTTTTTTAGTGTTTCTTTTTTAAATTTGGTTATAACCAGAAAAAAATAATTACATTACCTGATTTGTTGTAAGCCAGTGTATTTTTAAGCAGTGATGATTATCCATTTGAAAAAGCTAGTTAAAAAGCTCATGCATATAATATGGTGTCTACATTTACATATATAAAGGTATATATTAATAGGTTGTGGTGATTCAGATGTATGCACAGCCTTTGTAATTAAGTGTATACAACTAGCAGCTAAGTTAAAAAAGAATGCTTTATGAATCTTCAAAATGACGAAAAGAAAAGATTTGAACCAAAATTTTATTTATAAAGCAGAAAATTAGAAAAAGTAAATTAAAATCTTAACAATTCAAAAAATTGTGATTTTACAGATTAAATGAATTAACTTTGTTTTTTAACTTAAAAATGGGAACAGCTAATTAAAATCACATAAAATTGGCATAATGAAGTTAATCAGATATTATTTATTGAGCTTCGCAACAATTTGCTAATGTAAAAAAATAGACTTTAATATAAAATATAACATATACAACAACCACAAACTTAGCAATTTTATGCATATTGTGACAGAGATATTCATTAAAAAGTAAAAAAACAGTTACTTTATTTTATGCTTAATAGCGTTGTTGAATGCACTTGCCTAAATATACTCTATTAAGGCTATGAATTATATCTGATTATTAGGTATCAATACACAATCTAAATGATTTGAAATTTTGAATAAATAGCTGAGAATCATCAGGTCAGACTCCATTTTTATTAAAAGCAGCATAGCAGGAGAGATATATTTATTCATTTATATATATATATATATATATATATATATATATATATATATATATACAATATATATGAAAAAAAAAATAGAGACCGAGGAGAAAAAGAAAGATAAGTTTAAAAAGATTATATATATATATATATATATATATATATATATATACAAAAATATATATGAAAAAAAAAAAGTAGAGACAGAGGAATAAAAAAAGATAAGTTTTTAATTGAAAAGGATTAATTCAATTTTTAATACATTGTGATTATTATTATTATTATTTTATCACAATAATAACTGATTCTGATCTTAATCACTTAATACTTAATTTAATTGTCTATAAATAAAAAAACCATCATTTCAGATAAACTAATAAGATTAATTTTTATTATATATTATTAACTGATTATCACTATGGGGATTATTATAGCACCCTTCATTTCAACAATATGATGTAGTAAATCAGAAATCAGGGCATCCCTCATTATTTTTCCATTAACCAATATCAATTTTAATGTCCAAATGATAACGTAAAAAGTAAAGAAAGATGAATATTTTGTATTATTAATATTATTTTATCATTATATCAGAAATACTTAATATTTAAAAATAAAAAATTTGAAAAAAGCACAAAACAAAACATAGTCTCACTCATTGATAAGATAATAGTCATGAATTGAAGAATAAAAACAAACTTATCAATTTTTTTAACTAACCTGGCTCACAACAATCAGCACATTTTTCATTGCCAGGAATAGAAGTTAAGTTCATATCGACCTAATTTAAATGATGCTTTTTAATTTTATTTAATGCATAAAAAACACTTTTCTTCTAGAATTAAATAATGCTTTAGACACTTTTTTAATGCGTAAAAAACAGTTTTCTTCTAGAATTAAATAATGCTTTAGACACTTCACTTCTAAAAAGAAATATTTTTCGATTATTGCTTTTTACTTCCTGAAACTCCAAAAACACAACTTTCAAAATTCATAGACAAAGACTCATTAGCAAAGATTTTAAAATGTGAATAAGAACGTGAGTATAATTAAACACAGGAATGTGATATATGCATAGAATAACACTGGTCAACAGAAAAAATAATCTAAGGATTTTTAGCTGAATAAAATCAATTCGCACATATTGGTTTTGGCAGATTAACTAAAATTCTCAAATTTTCATTTTTTAACAAGATGTTTATTTTTTTAGTATAATAATATTACACTACTAATCTATAGTATATATATATGGCCATATACTCACGTCATTTCGCTTGGCTCCTGGAAACCCATGCATTTAGCTGTTGCCATCCCCTGCGGCTTTGAGGCGCAGGTTGAGTTGTGGGGGAGACTACTGGAAGAACTAGAGTAACACTAGAAAAGATTACGAAATACAATAAAATCATTTAATCAAATTTGATATATGATATATATATATATATATATATATACAATACAATAAAATCATTTAATCAAATTTGATATATGATATATATATATATATATATATATATCATATATCAAATTTGATTAAATGATTTTATTGTATTTCGTAATCTTAATAAAATTCGTATAAATTCTTGACAATATGTAATAAATTCCACCGATTTATAAGTGTTTATCAACTTAAATTCGAATTTTTCATTTTGTCATAGTAAATTTTTATCAACAATTTAAAATTTTGTTTCAATTTTTAACAGACTCAATTTTGATGATAAAAATTTACTAAAACAAATTTAAAAATTCGAATGTAAGTTGATTTATTATATATATATATATCTTGCGACTGAATGGGTTCTTAAACCTTATAACAACGCGATGTTGTTCTTACCTTTTGGTCGCGACACTTCAATTTGAGTTTCTTGGTTACAATAATTGAGTTGTGTTATCTTAAACCTTATTTAGCAGGCTACTGACGAGTCTCGTGAGAGACGAAACGTACCTCTGGCCTAAGGCGGGTAATGGTTTACCAATGATACTTCTTGCGACTGAATGGATTCTTAAACCTTATAACAACGCGATGTTGTTCTTACCTTTTGGTCGCGACACCTCAATTTGAGTTTCTTGGTTACAATAATTGAGTTGTGTTATCTTAAACCTTATTTAGCAGGCTACTGACGAGTCTCGTGAAAGACGGAACGTACGTCTGGCCTAAGGCGGGTAATGGTTTACCAATAATATATATATATATATATATATATATATATATATATATATATATATACAGTATTGTATGAATTCTGCCAAATTGTTGGCATTAATAAATTCAAAGTTTGTTTTTTTCAATTTTTCTTATTAGAATTTTCTGGAAATCGTTCAATTTATTGAAAATAGAATTATCCATGTTTATTATGAAAATTTAATGAAACTGAAACTAACAAAATTCATCTTGCAGATAAGGCCTTATTTCGATTTTTTTCATAAATCATCTTCAGTGCAGGTTGGTTTATATAGTTTCTTTAAACAGAACAAAGTTCATTAAACAGAACAAAGTTCTTTAACAAAGTTCGTTTGTGAAGTTAATAGTTGGTGTCGTATTCTTCATCCTTGTTGTTGTCATCATGCGTCGAGTTGGTTGTGATGTTATCATTCTTTGTTAGATGTTTATTTTGGATTTGTTGATATCTATTAGGACGGCTTCTGCAATTTTTTGATGTATTGTGTTGGTTTTTGATCAAATATTTTTGTGTTGTTGTCAAGAATTTGGCGGGTTATTGGAGTTGCATGTGCTGATTGCAAGTGAGGTTTAATGGCTCCTCTTTGTGTATGCATTGTGAGACGGCTTGATAGTGAAGTGGTCGTAACACCAATATACAAATGTTGTTAACGCGCACAGTCGTCAAAAGGGCATTTAAATTTATATATTATATGATTGCGCTTCAAAGTAGAATCGTCTTTAGGACCAATTGTGATGATTTGCTTGAAAACGACTTTATCTAGATGAATCGGATGGACAGGCCTTCGTTAGCATGTGCAGGACGGAGTATGGTATAAGTTGTTGATGTTGACGATTATTGATTGTTGTTGTTGCATTTGTTGTTGGAGTTTTGTAGGGCGGGTCGGTTGACATGGAAGCAAAGTGGGAGTTGAATGGGTTGGCATCAATTTGCTGTGAGGTTGACGGGTTGAATGATTTGTAAGAGCCTCTAACTTGTTGACTTGGTCCCACATGGCTTTGCTTCCACGCTTAATGTTAGTGAAAGTTTTTGGCTTAAATTTGATGATTAGTTTAATGATGTATTTGGTGATCGCTGTGGCTTTGAGGATGGATCCTGATCTCATGAATTTATTTTTTGGCGAAGTAGATATTTGATGAATGGGCTGATGAATTGAGGGAGGGTCTGATGATCGTGATGTTTGATGTTGGGTAGTACGTGTTGTAAGTTGAGTTGATGATTTTATAAAATTTATCAAAACAGTATTGCTAAAAATTGTCAATAGAGTTAGTTATAAACGTTAGTTATCTTCAGAGTTATTTTAATTTATCTCTTTCCACCTCCAATTTTCCTACTTCTTATAAGAATTCTATTGTTATTCCTATTCTTAAAAACTCATCCTTAGATCCTACCTCTTTATCTAATTATAGACCTGTTACTAATATTCCTTTCATCTCTAAAATAATAGAAAAAGTAGTTTTTAATCAATTGTCATCTTATTTAAACTCTAACTCCTTGCTACCTATATCTCAATCTTGTTTCAGACCTGCTCACAGTACTGAAACTTCTTTACTCAAAATACACAATGATATCCTTCTCTCTAGTGACAATAGTAATCTTACTCTTCTTCTTGCTCTTGATTTTTCCTCGGCTTTTAATACTGTTGACCATACTATTCTCTTGAGGCTGCTACATCTTTCTTTTAATATTATTGATTCTTGTCTATCTTGGTTTTTTTCTTATCTCTGTAATCGTTTTTTTCTGTTGTTTTCAATAATTCTACTTTTAACTCCTCTACTCTTACTTTCGGGGTACCTCAGAGTTCTATCCTTGGCCCTCTTCTATTTATACTCTATACCTTTGAACTGCATCGTATTATTAATAATTTTTCTTTCTCTAGTCAACTATATGCTGATGATTTTTACATTTATACTTTTTTTCCTCCATCTAATCTCAATAGTGTTTTTCATAATCTATCTCTATATCTTTCTTCAATTATCGTTTGGTCTGACTCCCTGTGTCTTAAACTTATTTCTTTTAAGTTTGAATTAATTTGTTTTAATAAATCTAAGCACTCTATTACTATTCTTCCTATTATCTTGCCTGATTCTAAAACTCTTGATGTTTCTCACAAGTTTCATAGTCTAGGTTTTATCTTTGATTCTACTATGTCTCTTTCTTCTCAGATTAATAGCGTCGCTAGAAGCTCTTACTTTCGTAAAATAAAAAAATTTCTGCCTTTTCTTGATAATCCTACTCTTCTCCTTTTTGTTACTTCGTTAGTCGTATCTAAGATTAATTATTGTAACTCGGTCTACTATGGTCTTCCTGATTCTATATTCTATCCTTTAAGTAAAGCTTTTAACTCTGCTGCTCGTCTAGTCGCTCGTGCCCCTTTCTTTTGTCATATATCTCCAAATCTTATTCTCTTGCACTGGCCACCTATAAAATAATTTTTAAAATTTGCACGTTTATATATAAGTTTCAATCTAATTTCAATCTTTTTTCCTAAGTATTTATCAGATATATTAATTGAACCTAAACGCCCCGGTTTACGATTGTCTTCTTTTCTCGCTTCTTCTTAACTCGTGTTAAACACTCTTTTGCCAAATCTGCTTTTGCTTTTTCTGGCC